TGTGTTGGTTTTGGAGGTGGGACACATTGTACAGTGCGTTCCTACCACTGCTAAGATATCATCTACATATCTTTTCAGCAGGAGTAAAGGTTTGGCATTTTCTTGCAGAATGAGTTGGTAGACATAACAGGTATTTGAGCTAATTTATCCATACTTTATGGTTTATTAATATAAACATTTCTAATCTTAGGCTATCACTCCATGTAAGTAAATATGTCATGTTTGTTGTAATATGCATGTTGCTGGGAATTTCCTTTAATAAAACATTCAGACCAGGCGGACTGGCTCACTTCAGTAATCCCAATTCTTTGGAAGGCCAAGATGGTCCTTGAGGTCAAGAGTTTGAGACCAAGGTGGGCAGCAGAGTGAGACCTTGTCTCTACTAGGAAGAAAAAAATTAGCCAGGTGTGGTGGCACGGTGCTTGTAGACCCAGCTGCTCAGGGGGCTGAGGTAGGAGGATTACTTGAGCCTAGGAGTTCGAGGTTGTAATGAGCTATGATGACACCACTGTATTCCAGTCTGGGTGATAGAGCTAGACCCTGTCTCTGAAAGAAAAAATGGGTATGTATATATATATATATATATATATACATACACACATAAATATTCACTTGTATGCTATTATAATGGTATCTGACATCTGCCTGCAATAGTGTTTTGTTGTGAAAATTTTATTCCCATTAGGTCTGGGATGTGACAGATGGATTTCATATGAAAAACACAATGAATCAAAGTACATTATGGCAAAATATAAATGATAACTCACATAAGAAACTGTTCATTAGCTGCTCCTAGGGAAGAGAATACCCTAGGCTGGAGGACTGAGATGGGAGATATGCCCTTTTTTTCTATCTGGATTTTCTTGTGTTATGTATAAGAGTTACCTAAAGTAAATAGTAAAGTGGTAAAAAGTAAGTAAAACAAAGCAACAAAGTAAACAGTAACAAAAGAGAAAATAAATGGATAAAGCAGATATTCTTTGGATATGGTTTTGGCCAAGTATCATCTGGTGGCTTCTATTTAGATTTCTTCTCACAATAGGTATACTCTCTGTATTGATTGATGCCTGAATTTCATTAAAGTTTCCTCTACATGGTAATTGCATTCTAATAGTTTATCATCTAATTGTTCCTTCAGACTTCAAATGTCATAGAAGAGTTGCCAAGTTTCTCTCTGACATGAGATCTGTTCTCAATTTGGAATAGAAGTTAGCAGAAGTGTTGCTTTATGAATGAAAGGATCATAGTGACTTACAAGTATTCTTCCACTAAAGATAATTAAGATAGGACTTTTTGAGGTACTTTAATCTGTACAGAACAGGGATTCCAACCTTTTAGCTTCTCTGGGCCACACTGGAAAAAGAGTTGTCTTGGACTATATATATACTTTATATATATATTATGTATATATACACATATACACTTTGAGTACACAAGTGCTAACGAAAGCTGATGAACCAAAAAAAAGATCCGTGCATAGTCTTCGTAATATTTGCCCCACAGATAAGCAAAAAAATCCTCACTTAATAATCCTAATTGTGCACCAGCCTGTTTAGATATCATTCAGCAGGTCGTAAGTTTGCAATTACTAATATATAGGACATAAATAAGTAATAAAACATCTTTTTTTGATATTTTTTATTATAGAAATAAAAGAAAAGTGGGCATTGTAAAATTAGTGGTATATTTGACATTGTATTTGAGAAATTAGTGCATCAGTATCTGATTTGATGGAAGTAGTTGAAATTCTCATTGAGTTTTGAAGGTGCTCATCAGATATTTGGGTTCTAACTTTTTTTTTTTT